AGGTAGGAACAGAAGAAGATGATCGAGCCGGCCTAGCTGCAATCACAAGGGGAATAGACGCTGAAGGAGAGGCGTCTTTCCTCTTACGAAATGCGGGAGGAGGAGTCTTCGGCCTCCGTGAAGATCCTCGGATTGAAAAAGAAGGATTGAAGGTTATCACCACCAAGAATAAACTGCAGCGAGCAAGCGACCATGAGGTCAAAACAACAAAAATATGTATAGATGAACTCATCGGCCAAGGAAGAAACAAGCCCGAACCTTTTGAGAAAACTCGGCCACTCGCGAATCCCCACAGTGTGAGGCAGAACTTGGCCAAACCAGTCATGAATGTCCCCGACCAAAGGAGGGGGCGTGGTTTTAGCTGTACGAAGAGACAAAATTTCAGCCTACGGCTAAAACAGGCAAATCAAATGCTTTTGATAAAAAATAGATACTTACGAGCGTAATTCCAAGCCTCACGGAAGCCGTTCGCATTGGCACCACATCTTCAATTTTGACGAAAAAGTAGTTGAGCCAGAACTGGCGATTTGCCTTGTCGTCCATCTTCACCACCAGGTGTTTGCCTCCTTGGTGGCGAAGATGCAACATTATCCCCCTATAGAAACTAGGGGCGAAGAGATGCATCAGATGGCGGAGTGTGACCCCGACCACGGCCAACTCCGCATATTTCGTAAACATCCTAATGAGCTTGTAGATATATGAAGAGAGTTGAGCCGGGTGGATGCCGTAATAGCGGAAAAATTCCTTCGCCAATGGGAGAAGAAGAAAGGTATAGCCGATGTAGAAAGGATATGCATCGAACGCGCAATATCCGGGGAGGTGTATTTTTACCACATCACGCCCTGCTGGGACCAGATCGATATGGGCAGGAATGTTGAATTTTTCCCTGAGCTCAGGAGATCGATCTCTTTCATCGCTGACTCCAAGACCTCAGGCTCGCCTTCAGGCGCCTTCGAAAAATCGGACCAAACTTTTTCACTATGAGGGATTATTTCCTCCACCGTAGGAAAGTTCTCATCTTCAATGAAGACAGAGACACCATCAGCATGAGGGGGCATACACACCATCAAAGGGATAAGGTCAGTTTCCATATCGGAACCAGAGGGTACATTAACCATATTTTTGAGAGAGGTTATTTTAAGTACAGAAGGGTTGGAAGCAACTGGAATCACTAGAACCAGGGGAGTAGACACACAATAACGACGTAAAGAGAAGAAGAAATAGGGATTCGATGAGAAGAAGAGAGAAGAAGACACAGGGGTTCAATATGAAGAATAAAGAAGAAGATACAGGGATTTGATATAAAGAGTATGCAAAACACGAACAAATGGACTTATATCCTTATTTATAAGAGTCCAAGTGTCAGAACCGAGAAACTAGGCCATCATTATCCAGCGCAGGTATCGAAACGGCAGAGGCACGGGAAACGACGTAGAACATCAAAAAAATGCGCCATAATGACGCATGATGTCATGGAGTCATCCTGAAGCAGAAACGATGTGACCCTGAAAGTTGCAGCTCACGAAATGTCACATCGTCATCTCGTCTAAAACATCACTGCTCGACTCACTCGTCCAATTTTGCTGACCACGATAAACAGAATCCGCTCATCAAGGTCGTCTGGGGTTGGCATCAATAAGCGGATGGACTAACTGTATAGGTCGAAAGCCGTCTCAGTATTTAGTGCAAAGTAACATCACAAAAAGAATCAGCCGAGGTCGATCAAGAAATAGTGAGGCTCGTGGTCAGGGTGCAAACGATGGTCGATGTCGAGCACTGGAAAAGAGCTGTAATGGCTAGTTTATTAGGGTATGTCCCATATAAATAGAAAAAAAGTCAATGAATGAGGGCATGTAATATTCAATTGATAAGAACACTTTTGAGAGGAAGATTCTTTCTCCCTAGCAAAAATACAAACTTTACCTTTTCATCAATATTCTTGCTCACATTATTCCATACTTTTCTATCAGATCCAAGAATAGTCCGAACATTCTAGGATTTATCTGTCACTCATCATTGTCAGGAGGAACAATCATCTAGTTCATTCATTATTGGGTGAATCACTCCTCCTATTTAAATGCCATTTATATTTATTTATTGCTAGTTACTCCTTCATTATTGCACGTCTCTTTAGATATCTATTGACTGTTATCCTTAATTCTCTTCCATATCTGTCTACACATTGGCCACATCCTCAAAGTTAGTATTTAGGAAAATTATCATTAACTAGGTTTAATCCTTCAATAAATAAATATAGTCGTTTCAACCAGAAGTTAATACTTTTTGGCAAAACAGTAAATATAATGTAAAAGTAAATTATACATTTATAAAATCTTAAATGCCCTTATCACAAGAGAAACATATGCTCAAATCAACATGTATGATATTGTTACAGAAATCTTGAATTCTTCAAGAAATAGATACAGAAACATCAAACATAGAGATAGTCCAGTCCAAACCAGGCCAACACCAGACTGTATATATAACATCACACTAAACATTGCTTTTGCCTCGAAAAAGAGCTTATTCAGTCACTGTGTCTCCTCTCTTCATGTATAAAACCTTAAACTCTACTACTACTAATTACCAAGATTATGAAGATGATACAAGGAATGGAAAAACAAACAACCTTGTTTTATTGCTTAAAGAAAATGTTGGAAACTTTCGAGTATATAATATTGAGATGGATGTGTGGGTGTACCAGGAGAGATAAGATTAAGAATGGAGTTATCCGAGACAGAGTGGGAGTAGCCTTCGTGGAGGACAAGATGCGGGAGTCGAGGCTGAGATGGTTCGGACATGTTAAGAGAAGAAGCATTGATGCACCTGTTAGGAGGTGTGAGAGGTTGGCCATGACGAGTTTGAGAAGAGGCCGAGGTAGGCCTAAGAAGTACTGGGGAGAGGTGATTAGACAGGACATGGCGCTGCTTCAGCTTACTGAGGACATGACCCTTGATAGGAGGGTGTGGAGGTCGAGGATTAAGGTAGAAGGTTAGTGAGTAGTTTTTAGTTGCTCACCGATAGTCTTAGTAGCACGCATGTCCCTTCATATTCTTAGATTTTTATTACGTTATGTGGTTTTGTTCGCCTCGGGTATTGTATTCCTTGTTGCTAGTATTTGGTACTACTTATCCTTTATCTCTCCCTTTTTCTTTTCTTTTCCCTCTTTCTTCCTTTCTTGCTATCCACTTCTTCTCATTACCCTTCCTGAGCCGAGGGTCTATTGGAAACAGCCTCTCTACCTTAGGTAGGGGTAAGGTTTGCGTACAGACTACCCTCCCTAAACCCCACCTGGTGGGAACATACTGGGTTTGTTTATAATGTTTATAATGCTACCGATATCTTTGCTTCATCAGTCGTTTGCCAATTGCCATACCAAATCTTGAATTCCTCATAGAAGAAGACTTCTTCTATATATGAGGTCAGCTTGTATACATAGACCATTCTTATCAAGAAAAAATGATATACTCATTATATTACTGCAGTACTCTAGTATCATAATTATAGAATAAGAGTATCATTTTCTGTTCAGATGAATCTCATACAAATTATGGGCCGGTTTTACAGAACATTAAAGGGATTTTTACCTAACTATACCATATATGAAACCTTATTACCAAATATGTGCATAGTATGTATATTACCCGCCAGTCCACAGTTTATCTACAATTTATATACCATTCGTTATTTAGGCAGAATCTGCCATTTTTAGCGCGCGAAAAATCAACCACAGAATCTGGGATTGATTTATTCCACATTAAATTCAAAATTTGAAACGGAAACGAGATCTCGAAGCTGCGTAATTTTGAAACGGAAAGGAGATTTCTGTTCTTCATCTTCATCTTCATCTGTTCTTCCATATATTTTCCACCATTGATAGCCATTAAAAATCTTGAAAGCTTTGAATCCAAATTTGGGTTTGCAAAAATCATTATTTGTTTGGATTGGGTGTTGTTGAAAACAATGGGGAATATGGTTTGGAGTTTATATCTCAATTTTGAGGGGTTTTGGTGATGATTAAACTTGGTTTTGACTGAATTTCAGATTGAAACTTGAAGAAGAAGAAGAAGAAGAAGAAGAAGAAGACATATTTCCAGAAATTGTAGATGAATTGTACATAAATTGTAGAATTGTAGATAAATTAACTTCTACAAATCTTCTACAATTATGTCGAAAATGCCAATAATGCTACAATTGAAATGGGAATTGGGATATTAAAATTCAATGTATCCAGTTTGTAGATATCTTGTAGATAAATTGTAGATTATTTGTATTCTGATTGTAGATGCATTGTTTTCTGTTTTCACAAATCCAAAACGACTAAAGCTTCTACAAAATCTTCTGCAAAAAACAGTCTACAATTTTATCTACAATTTTTTTAATTTTTCTACAATTTATCTACAAAAGAAGGTATGTTTTGTTTATGAAAATTAACTATAGATCTGAGTGCAGTTCTTGGAAGTAGAAGACAAAACTATAGAATGCACAGACCTGTGATGAAGTCATTCTCATTCAAAGGTGTAACTTACCATCATTATAAAAAATAAAATACACAAAAACTTCGAATACCAATATTTGAATCTCAGCGAAAGCAAGCAAAATTAGGTAATTTGTTTCATTTGCTGTGATTTGCATTAGCCGGACACGACAAATAGGAAGAAGAAGCAAAGAAAGAAATTCATAACTTTTTTAAGTTACGGCTGAAGTGTCAGAAAATAATTGCACCCTTAATTATAGCGCCTAATATAAATGCACCCTTAATTATATCCCTAATTTGAATTATGGTATATAAATGGTAATTTGGTATACTGAAATGTAATTAACACAAACCTTAAACATTGAGGGTAATAAGGTTTCATATATGGTATAGGAAGGTAAAAATCCCCAAAAAATTAAATCATGTACAAACGTCCACTTGCTTTATAAAGTTGGAAAGAATTTAAATCCTTTTATTATAAGCTCATGGGACTCAGCAAGAAAACAGGAAATTTACTAATAAGTTCACTTGATCAAATTACCGTACATATATAACTAATCATCATCAAAAATACAATACAAAATCTAGTAGAAAAAGGATATAATCCAAAGTTATCTAAAGCAAAGAATTACAAACTTAAAATGGTCAACGACCCAAAATAAATCCTTTTCCTAAGAATTCTTGGATAGAAGCTAATTAGACAATTGAAACAAGAGAAAGAATACCACACCAAGGCTTACAATCTTGTGGCGCTTGTGCACTAAAAAAAAAATTCGAATTAGCTATGAACTTTGCTGATCTGTCGCTAAATTACTCATAGCTAACAAAATTTCTTAATAATCTGTCACCAACAGATTTTTCTTATTGTCCCCCTTCCTTGATCTCCTAATGTAATACTAGAAAATAGGAGCGAATTAAAAAGATCAAGAGAAAGAATTTATACCCCTCGTACAAATTCGTTCAAGTTAGAATGGAGGTCGGCCTGTTGCCCAATAGCCCTCAGGAGGTAACTGAATGGAGTTGAGAAGATTTGGTGGCATTCCATGAAGTAACGATCCGTCCGCTAATAATTGTTGTTGTTGTTGTCCGTGTCCTCCAGTGGCCTCAGGAGATCCTCCTGGAGCCATTGGAAGTGGATTTTGATCGTCCTCTTCTAAAGGAAGCCTCTCATAAGCAGCGTTACTAAACGAAGCAGCCATAATAACAACCGGCCCTGACGCCATTAGCGCGCCAACCACACTACCTCCCACTACTTGTCCTTGCCCGCCGGCTAAATATATAGTCAATCCAGAAGCTGCTGAAGGTGCTGGCGGCGGAAGAAATGATCCGGACAACGATAAGATCTCGAATCGCCCATGTAGAGTTGCAATTTCACCTGGTGAAGCTGGTTGTTTTAGGTTTACATTAGTAACATTGCCTGTTCCACTCATAATACAAACTCCTCTTTGTCTTCTCCTGGAAAAATTGGAAATGCTTTCCATTATATCACAACCGTCTGCAATTTCCATGAGATGTGTTCGGAGGGCATTGGCGCTGTCTCGGTTGATGATAATGGGTGGTTTGGGCCTGTTCTTGGATCCAGCCGGCCTGCCTCTAGGCCTTCTTCCCATTTCTCCTTCTTCATCCATAGTCTTTGACTTCAATTCTACACTTATTTGTTGGATATAGAAAGATGGAAATTAAGCCAAGAGTAGTAGACTGAATTAGAAGTGCTAGAAAATTAAGGAAGTAACAGTAAGGAAAGCTATAATGATTGGAGCTAGAGATCTGTCTACTCTTAGTTAACAATAGGTTTCTGAGTTCACCTATTTATCACAGCTTTCTTGTTATAAAAGGAATAGGTAAATTTCTGTTCTTCACTTGAAGAAAGAAGATAGCAAACTTTGAGTTAGGGTGAGCTAACTAAGCTTGAGAAATGAGAGGAGACTTTATGAGATCTTCCATATATGGGTTGGGTTGGGTTTTTTTTTTTTTTTTTTTCTTTTTTTTTTAATTTATAATTATTATATTTTGCCTGCTCATGGGAGGTGAATGGAGAGGAGCCCAATCCCTTTCGTGTATATAAGAAAATTAATTAATCAATCAATATTTCTCCGTTAGTCCTTCATTTGTTTTACTCGTTTCAGAAGGACTGCTTATCTTAGAAGCTCATTAATTTTAAAAGTAACATTTTCTCACTATTAACATCTCTTTTGAAAAAAATCAATGATATGTGATAAATCACAAGTTATTAAAAGTACTTTGGATACATATATATATATATATATATATATATATATATATATATATATATATATATATATATATATATTGTACAATTATTAATTGAGTTTAAGTTAATGTAAGGAATTTTTTATACTATCAGGTCACTTATATCTGTTGTAGTAGGTAATTTTGTTTATCTTCAGTATTATAAATTTTGCATTTTAAAAGGCTTACCTATAAATATATAGTGTAAAAATAATATGCCGTGTATGTAACTAAAACTTATTAGTGTTATATGTCAAAAGCTTTTTTTTTTTAAAAAGATTATATTCAATGTACCTTAAGCACGGTCGTATAAAATGGAACATATATTAGTGTAGTATTTTTATTTATGTACATGGTTGCATAAACCACTACACCTCGCACTCCAGTCATATCCAGCAATCTCTATTTCAATTTCGTTGGCATGAATTTCTCAATATAATCCATAATATTTTTTTCATTTTCGCTGACTAAAGAAAATTAAAAGAAAAAAACCCTTCTCTTCCTCACATTATACTGAGAAGTGATTCGTTACGGTTTTCCTTATATTCTTTGCGTAGTACTGCAGTATGTTAATATTGTAGTATATTAATCAACTCAAAATTCCGAGAAGCAGACGAGGAAACTCGCTATGTTTTCTTCTCTAAGCTTTAGTTCATTCAAGAATCTGACCTGAAATTGAATCCCTTTGAAGAAAATACAGTGACAAAATTTGAGTACATGTTCAGAAGAAAATATGGGTTAAAGTGAACAAAGACATTACTAATATCTTTATTATTAAAGTTGGATGGATGGAGAAGCTTGAAAGCAGTGAGTGGACCAGATTATTAATTCTGCAGAAGATAAAGGAGTAAATAAAGGAGGATTATTGAGTGATTTAAGGAGTAAAATATCTAATAAACCATATTATAGCTTTTATATTCGAAATATTTGTTTCTATTTGTAAAAGTGATTATTTAATATGTTCTTTAAAAATATGCAGGTTCTTCTTCTTGTTTTTATAATTTATAAAATATGCATCATCGCTCTCTCATGTAATAGTAACACGTGGTGCAAAACAAGAACAAAACGATCACAAATTTGATTTTGTATCATGGTAATAGCACTCTTTGGGCGAAATTCAGAGGAGTAGGATAAAAAATATAAAGATAACAAGAACCCTAATGTTTTAGCATAAACAAGATGAATTCTTATAATTGTATGGGTTTTGCACGGGTCGGGTATGGATCTTGCGTTGGAAAAGCAAAAAGAATCTAGAGTTTAAAAAGACTGACACGTGTACATGGACTTGGATCCGTTAAATGGAGGGGTAAAAATGCTAAAAAGGGTAACGACAGGGGTAAGAAACGTCGAATATCATAACGGAGGGTTATATATAACTAATATTTGATAGTAAAGGGGTATATATAGCCCTTTTCCTTTTAAAAAAATAAAGGTATAACTTATCATTTTTTTTTTCATTTTTCCCTTAGTATTAAGTGCCTTGAAAATAAATAAAAAATTAGCATAGAAAATTTAAATGAAAGAGTAAAAATTTATTGAAGAGAGATTAATACTGCCTCCGTTCACTTTTACTTGGCATGTATACTAAAAATAGATGTTCATTTTTACTTGTCACTTTACGCATATCAAGAGAAGACAAAAAAAATTTCCTGCTATACCCACAATATTTATTACTCAGTTCAAATCATTTTCTCAAATCCAATAAAATATGCATCAATTAATACGAGTATCATGGTAAATTATGCACTTCATTTATTATTTCTTAAGGGGTGTGAAAAGTCAAAACGTGCCAAGTAAAAGTGAACGGAGGGAATATGTTGAATGATTAAAGAAATAAATAAGGGTATTGTAGTAAAAAACCTCTTCTATTAATATACTCTTAAGAGACATGTAAAAGAAAAACAGGACAACTAATATGGATAGAAAGGAGTAATTAATAGATCTTTGCTTTATTTTAGTTGTTTTACATGGCTAGGTTAGATAGTACATAGGAACAAGTCAACAAGTTGTGAAGAGTGAAGAAATCATAGCCGGCAAAATTAAATCAGACTTTATAGGACTAACGTGCATGTATGGGTGAATCCTGAGTGTGAAGTGGAAAGGTTGGTCCAATTTCATTATCTTCTGCAAACTCTTCAAGTGTTATGAAATTCTTTAATTTAACCCAGTTTTAGCAACCGTGAGTCCATAATGCTTCTGTAAACTTGAAGAGTGTCAAATCCACCGTATCTCGCGGGTCTTTTGGTTGCAACTTCATCTTCTCTGAATATATATATATAGAGAGAGCTGTATTATTGAATGAAAGGGTTAGACTACAAAGGGATTGGTTTAATAGACATAAAATTAACATGACTTTCGTAGTATGAATAAACATTGACCATATGGAGAACACAAAATTTTAGGTTGGTAATCTAAGCGGTGTGCACTTGTCCGCTGACTCTTGGTAAAGTACTAAATCCAAAACTTGAATATAAGCTTTAGGTGTGTTTCTAATAGTGTTAGTACTAATATCCAATTCCAGTTTCCAAACACATTAATTAGATGTAGTCAAGATTTAATTTGAAAAGAAATCCAAACCACATCCACATGGTTTGACCGCAAAATGCGAGAGGGTGTCAGTGGGGCGTGAAAGAAAGAAGGCGATGTTAGCGCTGACACACACTACAACGTAACCCTGCCAAGATTCTCACTTTGCACTTGCACTTTTGTTGGATTGACCTAATCTCAGACAACACTAACTATAGTTAACTTTTTTGCACTTTCCCTATATAGCTTCGCAGCAACTCTCGTTTTGCTTGGATTTTTCTTTCTTCATTTTCTGGTTCCCCACATGAATCTCTTACTCAGCGACTAGTGCTCTCTCTGTCTATCTATATCTTTCTCTCTCCCTGAGTACTCTTGCACATGCATATTTGAGGTAATCAAGATGAAAGATACAAAGTGGTGTCAAAATAAACTATCTATTGGTTCGATTGTTAATTAAAGCGATTATATATGCTAGCTGTAAACTTCTGTCTTAATCAACCACATGTCGTTTACTTTAGACAGTAATCCATGTGTCATCTGAGTACAAATAAGATACATTACTCTTTAGTGTTTACACTGTACCTTATTGTTTACCCTAAAATCCGAAAAACAATTAAACTTGTGTTGTGGTTTTAAAAATACGTGAGTGAATCCAATACTAATTGATAAACAAGGAATCTAATGTATAAATTAAAGAGTACAGTAAATGAAACCAACGTATAAGCATACCTCGACCTCGAACAATGGCGACCTCGAGGTAGGCGGATAAGAATAATAAAATAATAAGACAAATCAGATGAACGGTAAGCAAGAAAGTAAAATATGTATATTTTCTTCTCAATGATTGATGCGTTACAAATGTTTGGGGTCCCCTTTATATAATAGGGGAATCCTAAATAAGGTACCGTTCTAATTGTAGTAGGGAATCTAATCATACAACTGTGTAACCACCTAGTACAAATCCATTCCGGAATTTACGTTGTGATCTTAGGGCCACCGCGGGAGTCTCACTCTTTCTGTTATAAAACCATAACGGTATCATCTCGAGGTTGGCCATATTCGGCCCCAGTGTTCATCGAGCACCTCGATCTTCGAGTCCTGTATTCCGCCATCGGGCTCGAGCCCGGTCCACATTGAACTTATTCTCGACGTGACCCATCGAGCCTACAAAATCGGGGACACCTGATTTTGACCGTATACAGATAGTCCCCGCGTTTCTTAGAATAAGATGATAAGAAACGACTTGAGCCTCGATTTTAGGAGTCCTTGATGATGACGTCATTCATGTGACGTAGGTGCTTGATAACCGAAACGTCCCATCGGTTCGCTTCCCCAAAACATTAAATGCTTCACCAGTGGTGGTCGGCCACTAGCGCCGTGGAAACTTCTCCACTTGCATATAAATACAAGGCTCAAATTTGGAAAAAAAAACTTTACTTCCATCTTCAAACCACCTTCAAACTTCCTTTACCTCTTCCCCTCTTCATCTTAATTTCTCATCACCTGTTACTCTCGCCCTTTTAGTGCCAAAAGATATCAAGCTCCGCCTATTTCCGCTTCCTCTAACTCGAATCAATGGCGAAAACCTCCAAAATAGTTCCTCAAAAAGAGAAAGCTTCCTCCTCCTCTTCCCGGCCGGCCGGTCATAAAGCGTCGGCCCTTCACGAGATTATTCCCGGCCCTGTGTTATAATGAAAGACTTTAGAGTCGAAAATCACCCCAGCGATTCCTGGTCGATGCGAGCATGTATCGAGGTATATTTGATCGATAACGGAGAAGCACCTCAAGGCCATGAAGAAGGACTATGGCTGGGGGACAAGGTCGTGGTACAAATCCCTGCCCCCGAGTAGAGTATCACTACTCACGTGGAGGGTTTTCTAAGTGTTTACACTTACCCCTTCACGTTGGGTCCCCTCGATCCAATTGTGATCGACTTCTACAAGAGGTATCAGGTCACCCTCGGCCAGATCCACCCTTCTTTCTGGCGTATAGTGATCACACTTCGCTATTTCTCCAGCAAGGCCGAGGGGCTAGAGTTCACCCTCAATCACCTCATCCGATTGTATCGGCCTCAGCTTTTTCGTGGATTGATCAAGCTCCAACGATGATCGACCAAGGCCTTCTTCGCTAGCAATGACGAGGGTAAGGACCGGGGTTGGATGAGCCGGTT